ATATAGCTCCCATATATATCTTCTTCCGATTTGCCTTTTATTGTGCACCAAACGTGTAATTTCAGCCCGAATAGTATGAAATTTTTCACATACAACCAAATTAGACATGAAAATAAGTGTGCCAAATTTGATCGAAATCGGTTCAGATATAGCTATAGCTCCCATATATATTGTTCATCCGATTTGTTACTTTTGTCCTCCGCAGCCGTAATATGCACTCTGTAACAACAATATTTGTGGAAATATATCAAATGCAGCTCAGAAATACCTTTGCTAAATTTTATCGAGATCGGTTCAGATTTGGATATAGCTCCCATATATAACTTCGTCCAATTTACCTTTTATTGTGCACAAACGTCTAATTTTAGGACTTTATTTACTGGTTTTTTAATGTATATGTGATATCGCGGTATTCGAGGTTTAGTGGAAATTTACGTATTTTTTTACATAAATACAGATATCTCGACTGTATTTCATCTCTCGTACCAAATAGCATTGCTTAAATATATGAAAGATAAATATCCAAATCTAAAGCAGTTTTGAATAAATTTTATAGAGGTACTATTAGACTTCAAATTATCATTGATATCGACATTATATAACGATAGAGTTTTAAATATCGAATCGTATGAAAAATATGTATGGGAGTTACTTTAGCCACATACAAATCTGTACTGACAATCACCAACTTCAATAGGAATCGTATATGTAACAAACAAATGAAACAAATGTTAGGTTTGGTCCATAGAGACGGAATATCTAAAACCTGAATTTCAAAAGAAAGTCAGTTATTTGTATTTTATGTAGTTACTTGCAATATGCTTTGAATTAATGTATGTTTTGAGTGATTAATGATTTTGCTGTGACATACTATCCCATTGGCCAAATGCAGAAGGTCTTCACCAAATTTGTCATTAAAAAATATTATTTATTTTTGTAACAATTTGTGTGTGTTTTCTATGCAGTCATAAAATTGTACATACTTGTATATATGTTCCATACATATGATCATTCAAAATTTAAATGTGACTCGACTTTTTTTTAATATCACCATAAACAATGAATACATTTGAAACAAAAAATAATAATTATATGTTTGTATGAGTATACATATGTATGTAAATAACATGTTTTCTATATAACCATATACGTTTAATATGCTACTGCTATGTATGTATGTATGCCGCCCAAGTATATTTTGGTATATGTTTGTCCGTAATTACAATAATACCAATGGTAGATGTGGTTAGTAGGTACGAAGGTGGAGAATCAAATCTTAACCGCGCACGTGTATGAGTGTGGTTTTAAGGTAAATTCATGTCAGTGGAATGAGTTTTATTACGGGCTCATTTTATTTATTGTTCATCATAGTACGTCCGACATAATGAGGGAGGGTAAGAGAGCGAAGGCGTTTCTTTTTTACGGCTTATTTTGTAAATTAATTTTTCGATGTTTGGGGGACATTTTGAAAAATAAAAACTTTCCACTATTTATCTACGAAAAAATGAAGAAAAATTACCTGTACAATTTTGAAAACTAGCACCAAGTAATCATTAAAATAAAACAAAAAGTACGTAATTAACCCTTGATTGAGAAGAAATATAAAAAGTAATAAACAAGTTAAAAAGTATCAGTGGGTTTTGCCAACAGGTGTATACCTTCAGCCAATGTTTGATTATTTAAATATATTTTGACTTCTGTTATGGTTATTCGAATTGTTGATCTTCTATGGAGTATGTTCCGAAGGAATGAGCCAATATTGTCCATTTCGTATCGGACCAAAATAAATATGATATAAATATTGCGACGTACCAGGTTCGGACTATATTCCTTACTTCCTTCGTTTTACATGAGATATGTGATAAATTTTCGAAAATGTTAAAATAACTCACGCTATCAGATAAAATCGACCGAAGTATTCCATTTGAATTATGAAAATAATACAGATAAAAATATTGGTATTGTCAAAATCACAAGAAAATCGAACATTTTCAATTTTATGCGAAATCATAAATTCCATATCCATCTACGGTTCCTTATTCAGAGAAATATTTATTTATATAAACAGTAGTAAAGAATAGCTGACTTGCTTTGCAAGTTATGACAGATAAAAGTATTGAAAATTGTGACCCTTTGTATGTGAAGTACCAGAAAGGCGTTCGAAGATATGTATAATTTTAACAACAGATCTGGTGTTAGCAAAAATGTTTGTGTGTGTGAAATTTGAATAGAGTTGAATGCTTATTCCATTTTATTTGAGCGTTTTATTTTTCAAAAATTTGATCCTTTGTCGAGGATGTAGCAGAAGGAGTGGAACTATATATTCCGTCTTCACAGAAGATCTTGTGTTAGTTGACATAATGGGAATGTGTGAAATATGAAGAGACCCGGATGCTTATTTTTGATTTTATAATCGTTTTGGTTATTCAAAACTTTGTCTCTTTGTGGGGGTGGTACCAGAAGAAATGGTCTGATCTCTACTATCTTTATAACAGATCTTGTGTTAATGGAAATATTGAGATGTACCAATTCTGAGTGGAATCCGATTTTAATTTTGTGTTTTATGACCCTTTGTGGGGGAAACACCAGAAGAAGTCAATCGATATATTTTATCTTCGCACCAGACCTTGGTTTAATAAAAATATTGTGATATGTGTAATTTAAATACAATCGGAATTTTACATCACATTTTAGAAGAGTTATAATTATTCACAATTTTGACTCTTGGAGATACTTGATGGAGTGGACCGATAACGTTCATTTTCGCACTGATGCAAACATTAGGATTTGCAAAGTTGGAGTAAAATCGGATTATCCTTTTACTTTTTGTGAAATAAAATATTTTTTTTCAAATTTCGACCTTCTGTGCGGGAGGTGCTCGAAGGAGTGGACCGGTATTACCCATCTCCGAACTCGATCTAAGTTTGATAATAATATTACGATGTACCAAATTTGAAAAAATTGGATACTTCCTTTGTTTGTTTACAAATTGCTGGACAGCGAATGTTTCCTCATCGGAGAAAACCAAATACGGCAGTTCACCACTTTGGGCCAAGCGAAGCAACTCTTTTGAGTCTATTTTCTTTCTGTTGCGGTTTAAGTTCTTACACTTTTTGGAATTTCAATGGCTTTGCCCCGAGCTCATTTTTCAATGTTTGCCGAATGGAATATTGCGATATATTCAGCTCACGAGCCATTTTTCGGCCACTGCGACACGGGTTTCGATCAAGTCGCTTCTTTACTTTTCGAACCATTTCTGCAGATGTTGCTGTTTTCTTCCGTCAACTTCCTTGACGTGGCTACTAGTATCACGGAAACTACGAGACACAAAAGATTTATTCACATTAAAATGCTGGAGTGCTCTAACGATAGCCACTTGTGGTTTTCCCGCCAAATATAAATAAAGCACACTATCACGATTGAATTCCATCATGAATTACTTTTTTCTGGAAAATTCTCACCAAAAATCAGAATTGAAGCCTGTTGTTTTTTTGAAGATGTACATTAAGGGGTTCAAATGGACCAACAAATTAACATTTTGCTGATTTTTCAGTTGCTATATAGGTAACAATTGAAAACCAATGGACATGGAATTTTGCATGAGGAGAGAGTTTAGGACATGGCAGAAGTCTAGCATTTTGGATGACCATTGGATTAAATGAACCACAACTTTCGTGTGAAATTCTTTTGAATACATAACAACACGATGAAGTGCGTGAATATTGGGCAAATACCCCAAAAGACCTCGGCAGGGCTCTATGGCAGTATTTCAAAAACGAATTCTTCAAAAATTGATTTTGGACATAAGGTGGCTTCCAACATATTGTAGTGCTGTAGGGTATCACATGGTCGGAGCCGCACGACTATAGCCTTTGTTAACTTGTTTGAAATTCAATTATGGTCCACATTTTTGATGGGAAGCATTGAAAATTTGCTCAACAATTTGTATTGTCTATGATGATTGGTATTGAAATAAGTTCATTCAGAGGGTAAGATCTTTTCTCGTGAAAGATTGTCATTGTTAAGTATGTCCAAGAATTCAAATGCACTTTCTAATCAAGTTCAAATTTTGCGTGTCAGGTTCTCAAAGGATATTATACCGTTGCGCCTGAAAATTTAAAATATTATTAAATTACTAAAACTACTACTTTTAAATATCGGTCCACTTTTTGCAATTGAAAAACATTAAAATGAAGAAATGTAAATGAGCAATTCGAATTCTCGATGTAAGTTTGGATTATTGTTCCAGAATTTCGAATTTAAACAGATGGCCAAGTCAATATAATTTCAAACTATTTGGGGGAAGGTTAGAAACAAAAGACGTTATTCGTAGAATAAATTGGCTCGAACTGTTCTACCTATATATTTCAAATATAGGCTTGAATTTTTGAAAAAATTACCTATTTATCATGATCTCGTAATGCAAATCTATATGTAATAGCTTTGATCAGACGACGATTTTCCCCTGAAATCATGTAATCTTTAAGCTCGTCTCTTAGACATAATAATTCCCCTTATATTCCAAAGTCAATCAACAGCGCGACTTCAAGTTGCAATATTTTTAAATCTGATATTTTTGCAAAGTTTTAATACTCCACTTTTTTATTTTCTCCCTTAACTGCTATCCACGATTATCTAGATCAACAGGTGTCAGTGCCCGTTCATATTGACAGTTATGGATACATTTTTGAATTCTCTTTGATATATGAGCTGGAGCCAGCTGTACCCCAGAAATTGAGGGGGTATGTTGGAGCTAGACAAATTTTCTTCTCTTAACATGTTAGTATGTCTGTATGTACAATGGACCCAGAAAAAAACCAAATTCAATCTCATTATGCTCTATTTACTCTCTCTCTCTCTCGCCACAATTGGGGGGATTCATGGCTCTTGCCGACCACTTAAACACATTTGCTCAGTGCCGTTCTTATCAGTTGATATTCTGGATTAAATTACGGTATTCAGTTATTGTTGTTATCGTAGTAGATCGTTTAGTGTGTGTTTTTGTTTGTTTTGTTGGTCTTTTTCTTTTTTTGTTTTTGGTCTACGGAGATTCCGAAAAAAACACAGGGCAGGTACACAGATACGTACTCAATTAAGAACCGAAGTGACGACACAACCTGCTCGAAGACGTGCAAAACCAATTATCGGTCGAAAAACGCTTTAAAAAGACCACAACATTTCAACACCTGGTATCAGTATTCAATCGGCTTTCACTTGCAGCAAGTGAGTGCAGAACAAAAAAAGCGAGTTCCAACGCACTGACGAATACTTTTTTGATAACTCCAATTCGTTTGACTTTGCTTAATCGCGTTGTTCCCATTGCAACTCAATTTGTCATTCAGTTGAAGGTTTTCTCCTAATTACCTTGATCCAGATTTATCTGTCGGCCGGACACCACCTCGCATATTTTCGCGTTTCTTTTATTTTTGTTTTATTCAAAACCTCGTACGAAAAAATGGATCACGATCATGATCACGGTATGGGCTCCGGCAGTGGAAGTGGACATGATGGTCATGGTTCTTGTCCCATGAATATGGCTGTAAGTATCGATCATTGCGTTTCATTCATTATCTTCCGCGTAATTTGAAAACATCTTTTTAATGGAATAATTGAATCAAGTGGTTTTTGATTGTTCCGTGAGGGTGAGTGAAAAGTGAAAGAGAGGGAGAGAGAAAATTTAAAGAGAAATGACAGTATTTGAGATTTATTACGAAATATAGAATTGAATTGATAAGACAATTATTCTCTTACATGCTCAAGCATAGTGTTGTCATGTTGTTTGTGGAAAAAATATAATTCAACAAATATGGACGGACGTTGTTTGTGTTTAAAATTTTTGAATAAAAATTTCCAATAAATTTGGTTACAGTTTAACAAATCGGAATTCTTCCACAGTTGACCACTTATTATGGCTTTACAAATATACCTTGTCAAAATATTAATAATGTCAGCTAATTTAGACTACTCTTCCCTAAAATAACAGTTAAATTCTCATGTGCGTCCAGAGTCTTACTGGGTCAAATAGACATTTTAGGCATGAGAATTTTTCCCGAATATCTTAAATTGGAGACAACACGAAAAATAAATGGTTTATCTTGGCTTTGTCATAAAATTGAATTTTTTATTAGTTCTGCTTTAACAGAACTTGTAAATTAATACTAATTAGTTCTAATTAAAAACTCTTGCTGTTTCTGAAACAGGATACACATTAGCAAAATAGTCAAAGAAGCCTTTTTAGATTTTTACCATAATTTGTATTCATAATATCTATACTACCGAAAAATAAGAGATGGCTTTAATGAGAATAGTCTTTAAATATAGTTCATGGTAGAACTAAGAAGGAAACCTCATTTCAAATGTGCATATCCAGTTCTGCATTTTTATACCCTCCACCATAGCTTGGAGGACATATTAAGTTCATCATTCCATTTGTAACGCATCGAAGTAACCGTTAAAAACTAAGATTCTAATCCGATGTGATACTCATCCGTTTTGGATCTGAACTTAGATTAACCTTAAATGTGGTCCAACTTTTTCATTTTAAGTTATTCTTGTCGGATACAAACAATATTTGTTTGGCCCAAGGTCGAACTCTATGGAAATCGGTTATAATCGGATCAGATTTAGATATTGCTCCCATATATCTTCGACCAATTTCGGGTTAATTGTGCACCAATATAAGTCCAAATGTCCTGAATTTTGGTACATCCGAGCGAATTCAGTCTAGAAGCAAGTACATCAAATTTGCAGAAAATCGGTTCAGTATAGCTCCCATATATATGTTTCATCCGATTTGGGGTTTTAAGTCCCTGACAAACGTAATATGCACTCCACAAGAATGATATTTGGTACCAGACATCAGATAAAGTCCAGAAATACCCCTGTCGAATTTTATCAAAATTGGTTCAGATTTGGATATAGCTCATATATATATTTTTATCTGATATCAGGTTAATTGTGCACCAAATGGATAATATCAGCCTAAATCGACTGAATTTTGAAATTACGACTTAATTCACCTTAGAAACTACTGCTTCAAATTTGGTGTAAATCGGTTCAGATATAGTTATAGCTCTCATCAATATGTTTTATCCGATTTGGAGTTTAAAGTAACTCACACGCGTTATATTCATTCAATAACAATGATATTTGGTACCAGATATATTATAGAGCTCAGAAATACCTCTGATAAATTTTATGAAGATCGGTTTTTATTTGGATGTACTTCCCATATATATCTTCAACCGATTTCGGGTTAATTATCTGTCTGTCTGTTATCTTATCAATATCTGTCAAAAACTCGTAAATTTTGATAATATCGACCGAATTCAGTCTAGAAGCAAGTACATCAAATTTGAAGAAAATCGCTCCAGATATAGCTATAGCTTCCATATATATATATTTCATCCGATTTGGTATTGAGTCCCTCACATTCGTAATATGCATTCGACAGAAATACCTTTGCCAATTTATCGAGAACGGCAAGATTTGGATATAGCTCCGATTTCAGGTTTATTGTGCAAAGAATGGCTTAATCAGCCTAACTGAAGTGAATCTTGGGACGTACGTTTCTATTTTGTGGAACTCGGCTCCGATATATATATATATATATATATGTATATATATATATATATATATATATATATATATATATATATATATATTTTTTTTTTTTTTTTTAATATAAACCTTCTCGATGTAATGTAATGCACTCTATAGGAATGTTATTTGGTATAGTAGATTAAAATGTCTCCGTCAAATTTAATTAAAATCGATTCAGAATTGGATATGCCTCCCATACATTATTTACCTTTGAAACCAAACTATAACTGCTCTAAAGCCAAATGTTGGTTGGTGGTATGATCTACTTCACATAAATTATTTTGTTTCGGAAGCTCTACTAAATATGCATAGTAGTGTAGGGTTTTATATAGTCGGCCCCGCCCGACTTTTGACTTTTCATTACTGGTTTTATTTGTCTGTAATTTATTTTGTCAAATTTAATTAAGTAGAAGAAAGTTTGTGTCAATATTTATCAGTGAAATTAGGGTGAATTTTAGTATATCTTGGCAACTCTATTGTTATCTCTTAGATTATGAGAAGAGCTATGGTTTTCACAATCATTTCGGAATTGATGTGGTAAATGGTTCTCTCAGTAGTAGTAAGGTGTTTTTTTATATAGGAGAATATTTTAAAACAATAAATAGAATAAAATTACAAAATATTTTCAAGAAGGTAACATAAAAACAAATACACTGTAATTCTAAAAAATCGAGATTTGGTAATACATATCCCAGCTACGGAATATTCCTAAAATTAGTTAACATTTATTGTCCGTTATCTATTTCAAGTTCATTTAACTTTGTTCGATTAAGAAATAACAACATACATTTCAAAACCCTTTCTTATCTTTATTAATTTTTTCCCTTGTTTACATTCTTTCATTTACAGTTCCACACTGGCTACCAAGAATGCATTCTCTGGAAGGGATGGATGACAACAACAGTTACGGAATTTGTCTTTTCCGCTTTGGCTCTGTTTGTGGCCGCCTTTATTTATGAAGCTTTGAAATTTACCCGGGAGTTTTTCTTACGTCGTGCCGTACGCAATGAAGCCGAACGTGTTGCTCTGGAATTACAATCCAAAACTGCTGGCCCCTCAACGAATACTGCCGCGACAACTGCGTGCCATGGATCCAGCAATTTGGCTCCCATCCGCGAAAAGACCTATGCCCAGCGTATTTTCTCCACACCCCACTTGATACAGACGTTCTTCAATCTAATCCAGATTATAATGTCTTATCTGATAATGTTGGTCTTCATGACCTACAATTATTGGTTGTGTTTGGCTGTGATTTTGGGTCTGGGAGTTGGATACTTTTTTTTTGGGTGGATTAAACAGGATGTCTATGAGAGTGAATGCTGTCACTGATTACATTCTGAGAGCAATAAATGATGCCAGAACATCATTTGGTATTTTTATATTTGTTTTGTCGTAAAAGTATTACCTATTTAAGGGCTAATGAAAAAGCATTAGTTTTTTTTCTTATTCGAAAAAAGTAAATATTTTTATGCTTTTAAAAGTAGTTCTAGGTTTGAAAAGTTATAGCGATTTTAAATTGCAAACAAATATATATGTGCAAAAAGATAACGATTTTATATATTTAATTGCAATTGTGATAGTCTGTTTGAGTTCTTAAGTGCCATATTATTAGTATTTAAGTTCAACTGTTAATTATGTAAGTTAACGAAAGTAAAATAAACTTTTTTTTATACTAAAATATTAAATATTATTTTTTTTTTTACCAAAAAAAAAAAAAGATGGAAAGTCCGCTCTTGTCCGTTAACCCGTTAATAAAAAAACATGACTTTTACTTTTCAATGGATCAAAATCATGATTTAAATTCAAAAAGTTCGTACTTAGACCTGTTTAAGTATTTGGTACTTATGTTTGCACGCAATACAGGATGAGCTGAAAAAACTGCAACCAACTTTAGACTGCTGCCATTTCTAAGCCACTCGTCCGACAGCTGTTAAAATTATTCCAGTGACAGCTCATTATATTGTTTACAAGCGTACAAAAGCATTTTGGTGAGAATTTTCCAGAAAGAAGTTATTCGTGATAAAATTCAAGCGTGATAGAGTGATTTCTTTATATTTGGGTTGGAAACACACAAGTGGCTATCGTTAGAGCACTCCAGCATTTAAATATGAATAAATCTTTTGTGTCTCTCGTACCATCTCTCGTTACCGTGATACTGGCAGTGTAGCCCGACATCAAGGAAGTGGACGGAAGAAAACAGCAACATCAGCAGAAATGGTTCGAAAAATAAAGAAGCGACATGATCGAAACCCGCGTCGCAGTGGCCGAAAAATGGCTCGTGAGGTGAACATATCGCAATATTCCATTTGGCAAATATTCAAAAATGAGCTCGGGGTAAAGCCACTGAAATTCCAAAAATTGCAGGAACTTACACCGCAACAGAAAGAAAATAGACTCAAAAGAGCTGAAGAGTTGCTTCGCTTGCTTGGAATGTGGTGAACTGCTGAATTTGGTTTTCTCCGATGAAAAAACATTCTTTGTCCAGCAATTTGTAAACAAACAAAATGATCGTCTTTACTTTGCTGAAAATGTGCACCTTCGGCTGACCACCAGAACTCAAGTGCCGGCCATGGTGATGGTGTGGGCCGCCATAACAGCCGATGGTCGCTTTCCGCTCGCATTAATGAATGAATGCCGAATATTATCGCGAAAATATTTTGGAGGGTGTATTAATGACTTGGGCACGCAAATATTTTTGCCGCAGTCCTTAGACATTCCAACAGGATGCAGCACCATCGCACTCAGCACGCGCCACCCAAAAATGGTTACAAAATGAGGTTCCTCGCTTCCTTTCCAGCGCACAATGACCACCAAAATCTCCGGATACCAATCCGTTGGACTATTATGTCTGGAGTATTTTGGAAAGCATGGATGGCACTAAAAAATACCAAAGTCTCGATAACCTCAAGCAAGCGTTTCGCCGGGAATGGGCCATGTTTAAAAACAATTAAATGGAATAGTGAAGTGTAAAGAAACGCAGAATTTTAATTTTCTCTTAAATTATCTCTTTTTCGCCTCATGTTCTAGAGCACGGTTTTGAGCAGGGCTGATCCATAAAGACAAAGTTCTGTCACAGACAGACGGACGTGCATGCCTAAATTGATTTAGAATTTTACTCCGAACAAGATTATATATACTTAGTTGGGTCTACAATGATTATTATTTCGACGAGATTCAAATGGAATGACAAACTTGTGTCAGCGGAGGTTATATCAAATCCTGACTGTCTTAATCCATATTGAAATTTTCAAAGTAATGGCTAGTGTAATTGCTCACCAATTGGTGATGCCCGAAAATCCCGCGTTTCTTATCCAAGGGAGACCCTCAATCGGATGTTCATTTCGTGTTTTGTGACCTTCATGAATATTCAAAATTTTGACCCTTTGTGGGGGAGGTACCAGAAGGAGTGAACAGATATATGCCATCTTCACAAATAAAAATATTGTGATGTGTGTATTTTGGTTATTCAAAACTTCGACCCTTTGTGGGGGAGATACCAGAATAAATGGTTCGGTCTCTACAATATTTATAAAGGATCTTGTGTTTATGGAAATATTGAGATGCACCAAGCCTGAATGGAATCGGATGTTAATTTCGTGTTTTATGAGTTTCATGAATATTCACAATTTTGACCCTTTGTGGGGAAGGTACCAGAAGGAGTGGATCGATGTATTCCATCTTTACACCAGACCTTTGATTAAAATAAACATTGTGATGTGTGTATTTTGAAGACAATCGGACACTTACATTATATTTTATAAGAGTTGTAATTATTCCAAATTTTTAACGTTTGTGGGGGAGGTACTTGATGGAGTGTATTAATATTGTCCATTTTCGCACCTGAAGCCAATTATATGATAGCACTAAAGCCAATTATAGGATATGCAAAGTTGGCGCAAAATCGAATTATCCTTCCTCTTTGTGTGCAGTAAATTATTTTTCACTGCAATTTATCACCCCTTCGCCCTTTCGGTGGAAAAGATAATAACTTTAACTACACTCCTTCATATTTAGTACATTTTTGTACTTATTTAGAACCAAATGTCGCTGAAAATTTTTGCTTCCCCTGAAAAAGCTAAATATCAAATCATTTAAGTTGTTTTTTTAGTGCAAATTTCTAAAACAGCTCTTCTGATGACTCGGATAAATATTGACCTACATACGAAATTTCAAGATTTTAGCTCAAAAAGTGTGCCGAAAAAACAACAACAAAATAGACGGACAAAAGGAATTATATAATAATATTGTGGGTCGACTTAATAGAAGTGACGAATAGAAGAAAAGCCAGATTGGAACCAAATGTCCTGCCAAAGAGATCCAGGGTCAAAAACCGTTGGCATGGACAAGTCGCCCACATCGAGAAAGTAAAACCACTAAGCAACAAAGTTGGGGAAGACGTGCCGAATGTTAGCAACTTTAACGAGGACAGACTGCTGATGATCCTACTTATATAGAATAAATACCATAAGAGTGAGAGGCTAGAAAGTTTAAATTGACATTACCACAATAGAACCCAATATTTGGAAAGACTAATTAAATTATTTGGAAGACAATAAAAACAAGTGAAAAAGCTGTAAGATCGGCCAGGCCGAACATTGTATACCCTCCACAATTTGGAAAGAATTTGGCGATTTTCAAAAAAAAAAAAAACTTAAAAATTGTGTTAAAATCTTAAAAATACCGAATGTAGCCGTTATATTTGGGTCTATATGACGACGTGGACCTGCATTGGCAACTTTTGTCATAAACCATTAAATATTTAAATGCGAAACATGAAAAAATTCAGTGAATAATGTCCCTAAAATCATCAAAATACCGAATATAGGTAGGTTCCATTATGTGTGGACTATACCAAAGCGTGGACCTGCACAGACAATTTTCTTTCATAGGCTGTAGTACCATCACGAACTTTAAATACCAAATTTTAAATAATTCCGGTGAATAATGTCGCTAAAATCATTAAAATGCCGAATATCGGGAGGTGCCGTTATATGGGTGCTAAACGAAGGCATGGACCTTCGCGGATAATTTTCTGTCTTAGGCTGTAGTATCCATTAAGAACTTTAAATACCTAATTTGAAACAATTCCGGTGAATAATGTCGCTAAAAATCACCAAAATACCGAAAATAAGGAGGTACCATTATATGGGGGCTATACCAAAACGTGGACCTACATGCCCCATTTTCAATACCAATAGTCCTGCCGACGTAATATACATTTGAGTATAATTTTATCAACCTACTTCATTTCGTTCGGAAGATTGAGAGATTTCCACAGACGGACGGACATCGCTAAATCGACATAGAATTTTTTGCTGATCAAGAATATATATACTTTGTCGGGTCTAAACTGTATATTTCGAAGTGGTACAGTGACAAATTTAATGTACCCTTCATACTATGGTGGAGGGTATAAAAGACGTCTTTTGTCTTGGGCTACCTATACCTTATACATCTGAAGCACTGCATTAGTGGGAACAAGAAGGATTTTCAGCCAACGTTCCATCAATCCATAAGTTCCGTATGGTATCAATGTTTCACAAAAGTTAAAACCTTATTTTAATAATATTGTCCTCCGTCATTTGTAAACTGAGATGAATGTTTTTAATACGGTCAAATGTTCAACGTACTGTCTACTTCAAATTAGTCAGGATACTGCGGCAGGAGTACAATTAGGAAATAAAGCCTCTTCTTTTTATTATAAGTAGCAACATCTAGAGAAATTAGGTGAGATTTTACCTGACAATAAGACAGTTGTCAAAGCAGGCAACTCAAAAATTCCTCATTCCTTTCTCATTTAGGTTTCTTGCCAACAACACTTCCCCACTTTGCCCAAAAACGAATTCCTTGCCTATTGAAATCCTTTTTAAGTCTCCTTTAAATATTAATGCATTTGAAACAAGCAATAACATATCTACATATCATCTACCTACATTTGTCAACAAATTCAAAACAAAACAAAAAATATTCTTTCAATTATCTCTGTTGTGATTGCTATCAACTTCTACTGGGTCAACATGCGTTTCAACGCACTTTTTTTGTTATTGTAGCAGTTACAAATTTTTGATATCATTTAACAGATAAGAAGAGCAGAAATTAAATAACGAAATACAAGAGTATTTCAAATGTTGTATTTTAGGACTGTCTCTCGATCACTCTCCCTGCGTTTGATAACAAAACAATTCGAACTCATTACGCTCAATTTGCTCACAAGTAATTGTGATCATCAGTGACCACTTAACTCAATTGCTAATTTTCTCTTACCCAACGAAATGGGGTTGCCTGCTTTGAAAATTTTCAATGGCAATTTATGGGATTTTTGAATGATTTTTTTTTTGAGAATTGAAGATCTTTGGAAATGTATCTTATTTTTGGAATAAGATTATTAGTTTTCAAATTATGTTCTACTTTTATTATTATTCGCTATGTGCTAGCTGCCAAAACAGGTTCGAGACACCGGTAATTTCAAAAATTAAACTATTTGATATTCCAATAAAAAAACCAGTAAGGAAAGCTCAAAAGTCGGGCGGGGCCGACTATATGATACCCTACACCACTATGCATATTTAGTAGAGATCTCGTAAAAAGGTTTATACAGGGCATTTCAGAGCTCTATGAGATATTTGGTACAAAATCAAAATCTTTCTAATTCTATCGTGCATTTTACGAACTATAGCTATCTCTTAACCGGATTTCTACAAATTTGACGTATTAGCTTCTAGACTGAATTCGGTCTTATGTACGAAAATTCAGGTGAATTGGGCTGATATTGACCATTTAGTGCACAATTGACACGAAATCGGATGAAGATATATATGGGAGGCATATCCAAATAGGAACAGATTTTAATAAAATTAAAATCAACTATTTTTGGGCTTTATCTGATATCTGGTACCAAATATCATTCCTGTGGAGTGCATATTACGAATGTGAGGGATTTAAAGACGAAATCGGATGAAAGATATATATGGGAGCTATAGCTATATCTGAACCGATTTTTAGTAAAATTGGTGTACTTGCTTATCGGCTGGTTTCGGTTGAATTTGCCAAAATTCATGCCATTTGGGCTGATATTGGCCATTTGATGCACAAGTAACACGAAATCGGATGAAGATATATATGGGAGGCATATCCAAATCGGAACAGATTTTAATAAAATTAAAATCAACTATTTTTGGGCTTTATCTGATTTCTGGTACCAAATATCATTCCTGTGGAGTGCATATTACGAATGTGAGGGACTTAAAGACCAAATCGGATGAAAGATATATATGGGAGCCGATTTTTACTAAAATTGGTGTACTTGCTTCTAAGCTGGTTTCGGTCGGATTTGTCAAAATTGATGCTATTACGGCCATTTGGTGGTCAATCACCCGAAATCGGATGAAGATATATATGGGAGCTATATCCAAATCTGAACCGATTTCGATAAAATTTAAAACAGCTATTCCTGTGCTTCATCTAATACCTGGTACCAAATATCACGGTTGTGGAGTGAATATTACGAATGTAAGGGACTAAAACACTAAATCGGATGAAACATATATATGGTTGCTATATCTATATCTGAACCGATTTTCACTAAATTTGATATACTTGTTTCTAGGCTGAATTTGGTCCGATGTACTAAAATTCAGTCCATTTGGACTTATATCGGCCATTTGGTGCACAATTAACCCGAAATCGGATGAAGATATATATGGGAGCTATATCCAAATCTGAACCGATTTCGATAAAATTACAAACAGCTATTTCTGGGCTGTATCTTTTATCTGGTACCAAATATCATTCTTGTGGAGTGCATATTACGAATGTGAAAGGCTTAAACACCAAATCGGATAAAACATATTTGTTGTATGTGCTTTAAGGCTTATCTCGGTCACATGTGCCAAAATTCGGGCCATTTGGACTGACATGCATAAATCGACTCAGAAAGTGATTCTATGAAGGTTCTCAAAAGTAACTATGGGTCTATCTCGTTTCCTTCTCCATGTTACAAACAAATGCACAAAGACATAATACCCTTACCACTATGTGGTGTAGGGTATAATTACATTAGATTTTTATATGTTTCGAAATATTGGATACTTTCTTAGGGCAAGTACGAGGTATTCCAAAGCTATCAATCAATTTAATTTTTTATTTTAATGACTTATTCTTTCAAATTTAGATACGTATTTATCTGTATTGTCTTCAAATATATAAATATTGTTTGCAAAATAAAAGCCATACAGACAGGTTCCATTTTTCACAATATTGGTTAACTTTTCCTACCTTGTATTAATTGTACCTAGTTGATATCGTTTAACCTTTTTATTGACATTCGGCAATACTCAAATCTTTTTTTACACAGTCGAGTTATTTTTATTTTAACTGAGTTTATATACTATATTTTTTATACCCATACTATGGAGGGTATATTAACTTTGTCATTCCGTTTGTAACTCCTCGAAATACTCATATCAGACCCACCAAAGTATATATATTCATATAGCACCTATATAACGGTACCTCCCGATAATCGGTATTCACCGGAATTGTTTCAAATTTAGTATTTGCAGTTCGAAATGGATACTACACCCTAAGACGGAAAATTGTCTGTGCAGGTCCATGTCTTAGTATAGCCCCCATAAAACGGTACCTCCCGATATTCAGTATTTTGTTGATTTTAGCGACATTATTCACTGGAATTGTTTCAAATTTGGTATTTGAAGTTCGAAATGGATACTACAGCCTAAGACAGAAAATTGTCTGTGCAGGTCCACCTCTTCGTATAGCCCCCATATAACGGTACCTCCCTATATTCGGTATTTTGGTGATTTTAGTGTCATTATTCACCGGAATTTTTTCAAATTACGTATTTTGAGTTCGTAATGGAAACTACAGTCGGTGACAGAAGTCAGACTCAAACGAATATGGTCATTATCATAGTATTAAGGATAAAGGCCCCATAAAGTACATATATTCATGATCAAGGTCTAAGTCGATTTCACTATGTCTGTTTATATGTCGATTCATTTGCCCATCAGTCGGTAAAAGTTTTGAGGTTACAATTTTCAAGATAAATAATTAAATATGGCATATATGAAGTTTGGTATTGAAAATGAGATATATCGGTTATTTAGTTATTGCTCACAAATAATAGAACTTCCTGATTTAAAGTGTTTCGAAGCTTTTACCAATTTCCCAAAAATCTGTTATCATTTCATCTTTGGGGTTATCATTGGGAGTTTTAACTTTTCGCAAAAAATATTTATTGTAGGCCCACTTCTTGTGAATGCTCTCATATAATAAATATATAATATATCCCGATTTTCCGTATTTTGAAGGTTTGTCCCCTATTTGCTATCAAATCTGCTGTGATTTGACATTTCGAGTACTCATTGGATAGTTTAAATTCCAACTTACTGGTAGCGTAGCCCGACGTCAAAGAAATGGATGGAAGCAAACAGCAACATCAGCAAAATGGTTCGAAAAGTAAAGAATCGACTTGATTGAAACCCGCCTCGCAGTTGCCGAAAAATGAGCCATTGAATGAGTAAAGCCATTAAAATTCCAAAAAGTGCAAGAACTTACAGCGCAACAGAAAGAAAATAGGCTCTAAAAAGCTAAAGAGTTACTTCGCTTGGCCGAAAGTGGTGAACTGCCGAATTTGGGTTTATCCGATAAGAAAACAATCATTATCCTGCAGTTTGTAAACAAAAAAAAAAAAATGATCGTGTTTACTTGCCAAAGAGGTCAGCTGAAAATGTGCACCTTCGGTTGGCCACCAGAACTCAAGTGCCGGCCATGTTTATGGTGTGGGCCACCATAACAGCCGATGGTCGCTCTCCGTTCGTATCAATCGACCGTGGCATCAGAATAAATGCCGAATATTATCGCGAAAATATTGTGGAGGGTGTATTAAAGCCTTGGGCACGCAAACATTTTGGTCGCAGACTTTGGACATTCCAACAGGACTCAGCACCATCGCACTCAGCACGGGCCACCCAAGAATGGTTACAGAATGAGGTTCCTCGCTTCATTTCCAGCGCACAATGGCCACCAAAATCTCCGGATGCCAATCCGTTGGACTATTGTGTCGGGAGTATTTTGGAAAGCAAGGTTGGCACTAAAAAATACCAAAGTGTGGATCACCTCAAGCAAGCGCTATGCTGGGAATGAGCCAAAATACCGTAGAGCAATGTTCGGGCATTATTTGCTTTCATTCAATAAAATTAAAATTGTTTTAAAAATTATGGCGTTTGACTTTGTTGCCGTTTTTTATCTCACCCTGTATATTCCAGTGGAATTATTCACAAATAGTTTGAAGTTATATGCTCTAGTCACGCTAATGATTTTGGGTGATGTTTTTCATATCTGTACCAAATTTGAAATTTGAAAGGATCTAATAAAAAATACGTTAAGAATAAAGGAACAAATCAGGTATTAGAAAATGGAAAAAATCCATAATCCAAAAACAGTTTGCCTCTTTTTTCCAGATGAAGTTGTTGATTGCTGTTATTTGTATTTGTTGTAGTTGTTGTTAAGCGATGTTTATTGTTTTAGTAATGGCGATTTGCACCCTAGGTAGATAGATAAGTTAGCAAAAAACAATTGTGACGACACGTGTGAAGATATGCGAAAAGCGATTAAACTAACGAGCGAACGAACGAACAAGTCGCTTTATAAAGGCCACAACAAGCCATTAGCCGGCATCAGTATTCGATAGGCTTGCACTTGTAACAGGTGAAAAGTGATCTCCAAATAGAAACGATTCCGTTCGTCATTTATCCCGCTTAAATAAAATATTGCTGCTCTTAACTATAATTACCCAGTATCATTATGAATCACGGCAACGGTAACGGAATGGGAAATGGAATGGGTCATGGAAATGGTAATGGAAATGGAGGCGGAATGGGCGGAATGCATCATGGCGCCTGTCCCATGAATATGGCGGTAAGTATTTGAATTTATTGTAATTTCTATAATTGAATTAGGAAAATATATTTGAAGCTGTCTTAAGGTGTGGTAGAGTTAATAATTTATTATTCGTTTGACAAGCTTTCAGTGCCAAAATTTATGTTTATAAATTCATTGTGTACATCCAAAGAAATGGGAACGTGTTTCCTAGACAGTGAAATTTGACAAGTGATCTGCAAGAATGAAAAAGTTTTTACTTCGATAATCGATTTTCCCTTTGAAATATTGAAATAATTGCAAAACTAGTAGATTTTCGCTGGTTCTGGAACAGAGCTAAGGTAAATTACAAAAAATGCAGATTTAAATAATTTTACTTACTTAACTCTACCGTGGGTGCCTCTTTTCGATTTCAAAATTCTAAAATAAAAATTTGGACGCCAAAATCGGAGCAATGTTCTATAATTGTGCGTCCGTCGGTCTGTGAAAAGTACAGATGTCATTCATTTCATTTGGTTGTTAAATTTGGTGATAATCGGTTCGTGTATGGATATAACACCCATTTTTAACGTTCCTCATATTCGCGTATATGGCTAGGATGGATTCAAAAGTCTGTCAAATATAGGTACACCGACCTAGAAATACCTCTGTAAAATTTAATTGAAACTGGATCAGAAAAAAAAAATGTCAAAAAAAAAAAAATCGGAAAAATACCGCTTAAATGAAACCCGTTATATGAGGCGTGGACCTGCATACGTAATTTTTGTCATGGGCTGTAGTACCCATTACGAACTTTGAATTGAAACAATTCTGGTGAATAAGTCGCTAAAATCATCAAAATACCGAATAAAGGGAGGTGCCGTTATATGGGGGCTGTACGAAGACGTGGGCATGCATATGTAATTTTTTTGACAGTAGTTCCCTTACGATCTTTGAATACGAAATTTGAAATAATTCCGGTGAATAATGTCGCTATAATCATGAAAATTCCGAATATCAGGAGTGTTATATGGGGGTTATACGAAAACCTGGACCGACATGGCCCATTTTCGAACTTAAGCTGCCTACTGACAAAATACCCATATACGCATATAGTATCTCAATTCGTTCGAAAGACATCGAGATTTCAACAGACAGTCGGATAGACAGACGGACAAAGCTAAATCGGCTTAGAATTTTATGACGATCAAGAATGTATATACTTGGTTGGGTCTAACATGAGTATTTCGAGGAGTTATAAACGGAATGACGTTAGTTTACCCTTCGTAGTATGGTGGAGGGTATAAAAAATGTGAATGTCGTATGTGTTTAGGAGGATGACACATTTGAAGTTAATGAGAGACGTTATATGCTTTCGATATCCGATATCATTCACTACATCTGTTCAAATATATCGGTTCAGATTTATCTTCCATATAAAATCTCCAAACTACTCTAACGTATAAGAGCCCTAATTTTTTTAGGAATACCTCTCCTAGGGTATAATATAATCGAACCCAATGGACCATTAACCTTCCAAATTGAGTTCCCAATTTCATTAAGCACTATCACTTAATTTTCCATTATAATTCTCCATCTTTCAGTTCCACTTTGGCCACAAAGAATGCATCCTGTGGGAAGGTTGGCTCCCCGAAACCGTTACCGAATTTGTTTTCTCCGCTTTGGCTCTATTTGCAGCAGCATTCCTCTACGAAGCTATTAAATTTGTACGTGAATATTTATTACGACGCACAGCGGAGAAAGATGCAGCAAAACGTGGCAACAATACAACGAGAGGAACAGTGTGCCCAAAAGAAGATGAAAGTGCATCATCGTCTAGCCGTATGCCATTGCTTAGTGAAAAGACCTACCTCGAGAAGATTCTGGCCAAACCCCATTTAATTCAGGCCTCAATTAATCTCATACAAATAATTATGTCCTATCTGCTGATGTTGGTCTTCATGACCTACAACTATTGGTTGTGTTTGTCTGTCGTGTTGGGTCTGGCCTTGGGTTATCTATTCTTTGGATGGATTAAACAGGATGCCTACGATAGTGAATGTTGTCAGTAAAAAGCATATTTAAAAAAAATCTAATAATTTAGCCCAATCAAGCAAATATTTTATGTGCTAATATATATATATATACATATTTCGACTGTGCCATATTTTAAAAAATTAAAATTTTATGAAGAAAATAAACAATTAAATTGATAAAATGTACGACATTTTTCCAATGACCTAATTCTAAGTGTCCAGGAATATGATATAAATATATGTTGAACATTTCAGAGAGGAAACCGAATAGTTCACAAACTGAATAGTTTGGGGGAAACTACTATATGGGGGCTATACGATATCGTGGACCATCTCCGAGCTTGACCTGCCTGCAGACAAAATACATATCTGTGCAAAATGTTAAATTTATATCTTAATTCGTTTCGACTGTAGTATGATTACAATAGACGGACAGACGAACGGACGGATAGGGCTAAATCGTCTTAGAGTTTTACGCTGATAAAGAATATATATATATTTTTTTGGTTCTAAAATAATTATTTCGATGATTTACAAACGAAATGAACTTAATATACCCTCCATACTTTATGTGGTGGAAGGTATAAAAACAGTCTATTCATATTAGCATTTTTTCGACAGGAAAATGTTGGAAAAAATAGTGTGGCACCGTTGAATTGTCCATTGAGCAACTGGGCTAAACCTGTGGGATATGAGGCTGAAAGATTTACCATTACATCACGACTAAATCTAAACGAGGGTCGAAATAGAATGTTTTCAGTACCATATTGGAGACGAACATTTCGTCACGAAATACAAATTTTTCGATAAAGTTTCACACTGTTTTTTTATAGAATAATTTTTTAACGTCTCCTGGAAATTTTTCGAGTAACGACAAAGTCCAATTTTAAACTAAGTTCTATTTTGGTTGAGATATAGCCATATGCTTGTGTGTGAAAAAGAAGCCACCAAAGAAGCCTGGTGAATCTGGAGAATTTTTAACAACAATCTATGACTACGATATCATGCAGTTAGGAAAAATCAGACTCAAACGAATATGGCCTTTATCATAGTATTAAAGATAAAGGCCCCAAAAAATACATAAAGGGTGAGATAAAAAAAAAAAAACTAAACAAAGTCAAACGCCATAATTTTTATAAGTTTTTAAATTTTATTAAATGAAAGCAAAAAATCTCGGAAATAGCATCAAAATTTAGAATAAGTTTAGATTTGTTCGAATTGTTCACCTTTGGCGCGAATTATAATTATGGCCTTCAAACGACCAATGTAACAGTCATGTTGCTCTGAAACCCGAATATTGCTCTACGGTATTTTGGCCCATTCCCGGCGAAGCGCTTGCATGATATGATCGACACTTTGGTATTTGTTAGTGCCAACCTTGCTTTCCAAAATACTCCAGACACAATGGTCAAACGGATTGGCATCCGGAGATTCTGGTGGCCATTGTGCGCTAGAAATGAATATTTCGGAGCTGGAATATAATATTGGGCATTTATTCTAATGTCACGGTCGATTAATACGAGCGGAGAGCGACCATCGGCTGTTATGGCGGCCCACACCATCACAATGGCCGGCGCTTGAGTTCTGATATTCGGTGTAAGTTCTTGCACTTGTAAACAATATAATGAGTTGTCACTGCAATAATTGTAACAGCTGTCGGAAGATTGATTTAGAAATGACAGCAGTCTGAAGTTGGTTGCAGTTTTTTTATCTCACCGTGTAGGTATCATTTAAAAAAATACTTATTCAAAAAGTAATTACGTATGTCATTATTTAAAACAATTCGCGAGTTAAAAATTATTGATTTTTTTTGACCCGAACTTTTTATAAATTCCCCAAAAGGTAGCAAAAGTGATCATTATAAATATACCGAACTAGCAGTGCCCAAGTGTCAAATTAGCAAAAAGTCCAACTTAAAATTTTAGATTAGTTCCATCACTTCATTTAAGCACTCAAAGTGCATATTATTTTTTGGACAGAATGTGTATATTATTTTTTGGACAAAATTTCTAAATAAAATCTCATACATTGTACTAACTTTTTATATTCACTTTATTCATATTCAAGTTTTTTTTTTTTTTTTTTTTTGAAAAGAATAATCGAAAAATGATTACTTTTTCCATTATGAGGTTTTTTAATTTTTCGTTTTGAAGTTTACCCAAGAGCATATTAGTTAAACCCTTGTACAATTGTTCACATCCAGATTAACTGGCCAAAACTATTTAAACGTCTTTTCGAAATAAAAAACACAATATCTAAATCGTAGAAACCAAAAGTGATCTCAATATCAAATTTCAGTCCATTCACTCAACGGCAAAGTGAGTACAATTTAGTAGTTTTCGGACAATTATAGTACACATTCCCAAAAGCACCTCGTTCTCCCAAACCTATATACTAAAAGTGGCCACCTTATCAAATTTCAGAATTCCAGCTCTATCCTAAGACCCAATCCCAAATGTATTACCATAATTTACGTACAGTTATTCTACCCTTGTCCAATACCACCTCTTCTTCTCCACCCTAGAAATTAACAGTGACCTTGATACTAAATTTTAGATTCTATGTCTTTCTCAACACCCAACGGCTAATTTTGTGGCATTTTGCACTTTCCGTACGTTCATAGTACGCATTTCTCCTAACTATGGGCACCAACAGTGACATACATTTCAGATTTCAGGTTTCAAACTCTATCCTTTCACACAATAGTATCTTTTAGATCTTTTCGTATAACTATAATATATATTTTCAAAACCAGCTTCATATCTCAATCCCAGATTCCAACAGAGACCCCAATAACAAATTTGGGTATTCCAGTTCTATCCCTTGCTCTAATCCCAAATTTAATACCACTTAGTACTTTTCGAAAAATTATAGCACACATTTCCAAAAACCAACTCCTTCTCTCAACCACCAACAGTGACGTCCATATTAAATTATTGGATTTCAGGTCTATTTATTCACCCAATACCAAATTTAGTACATTTCGCACAATTATAGTACACATTTATAAAACCACCAGATACCAACAGAGACATCAATATTAAATTTGAGATTTCCAGCCCTATCCCGCCCCACAATACCAAATTTATTACCAAATTTCAGATTTCAAGCACTGCATGTTCTCTCAATACCAAAATGTACCAAGTATAGTACTTTTTGTGCACTTGTAGTACACATTTCCAAAACCACCTCTTTATCACAAACCTACCACCAACAGAGAACGCAATACGAAATTTCACAATTCCAGCTTCACCCTGTACAGTTCGTACGCTTAGTACACATTTCCAAAACGCCCTTCATAAATCTAATCTATTCTATCCAACCTTGTTCTCATACCAATTTTCAAGTTTTTAGACCAAAGGTAACTTCTTAGAAGTTTACTACCATTTTAGAAATTTTGGTAAACTTAAAGTTCGAATTGTTGCATCTATCTCCATTTGTGACTATCATTCCAAATTTGAGAATATTTGTCCAAAAAAATATTACATTTTTAGTACGTTACGTACCCTTTTAGTACGGATTTCCAAAAATCCAGCCTTATCACCTACGCCTACGAACCTTCGTGCAAAATTTCAAGGTTCTGGCTTCAGCTGTTTCGACTGGGCGTTGATTCCGAATCAGACAACCACTCAGTTATTTCACCACTCTTGTATATATAAATTACTTGTTTTATGGAGGATATTAACCATGAGCAATTCTTATCTAAAATCTGTTGTATGGAAATTTAATTTAATATTATTAACTAATTTATATACCCTCCACCATACATATTATAGAGGGTATATTAGGTTCCTCGTTCTGTTTGTAACTTATCGAAATAATCATTTTAGACATAACAAAGTGTATAAATATTCTTGATCAGCGTAACATTTTAAGTCGATGTTGTAATCATTCTAGAGTCAAAGCGAATAAAGATAGAAAGCTAAAATTTTGCACAGAATAGTTTTTTGTGTGCAGGCAGGTCAAGTTCAAAGATGGGCTATATCGGTTACGATATCGTGTAGCCCCCATTTAACCGTACTCCCCGGTATTCGGTGTTTTAATGATTTTAGCCACATTTTCCAATGAAACTGTTGGAAAATCCACACAAGGAGTTCTTTCTGAGCACTTTACTCTCTGGCAGAAAGTTGTTTATATAAGTCAAGATATAGTATAGCCCCCATGCAACGGTACCCCCGATATTCGGTATGATTTTAGCCACATTTTTCAAAGTCCACACAAGTATTGTTTTCTACGTACTTTACCCTCTGGAAGACAATTGTTTATATAGGTCCAAGTATAGCCCCCATACAACGGTACCCCCCGATATACAATATTTGGACGATTTTAGGGACATTTCACTGGAGTTGTTTCAAATTTCGTTCCTAGAATTCGCAATGGATACTATAGCATATGACATAAAATTGTGTACGCAGGCCCACGCCTTCCTATAGGCTCCATATTACAGTACATCCCAACATTCGGTATTTTGATGATTTTAGCGACATTATTGAACGGAGTTGTTTCAAATTTCGTGTTTAGATTTCGTAATGGGAACTACATTCTACGACAGAAAATTGTCTACGCAGGTCCACGCATTCGTATAGGCCCCATATATCAGTACCTCCCTATATTCGGTATTTTGATGATTTTAGCTAAATACCCTGTATTCCCCTGATGTATTTGAATGTTGTAATAGCTTATGACAAAAGTTGATTATGCAGGTCCACATCTTCGTATGGACTCTAATATAACGGCTATACCCCAATGTAACGGCGGATGTGTGTGTGTGTGTTTTTTTGTTGAAATTTTCCAAATTCGCTCAAATGGTGGAGGCCGGCCGAACTTACTGCTTTTTACTAGTTTGATTTCTTTGAAATTCAGCCGGCTTCCGATCGAAACTTACCTTTTTTCTTACTGGACAAAACAATAATGCAATTTTGTGAGTATTTGTTTTTTTTTGTATTATTAAAAATGATCTTTATTTAGAATACAACAAAAATCTACAACCAAATAAAATAAGTTTTTTTTTTTGTTTTAAATATTTTACACTAAATTCTTGTTCTCTTACAGATAATTTCAATTTATATTTCATGTTTGTTGTTTGCTTTGTTCGGTTTGTTTTGTAATTCTTCTTTTTTTGTGTTTTATTTTCTTACGTTTTGTTTTTTAAATAATAATTATAATAAACTTGTTGTTTACG